ATACTCTTTTCTTCATGATTATTTTTAGTTTGATTTGATTATGATACATGTATTAAGTTTGACCTCAGGCCTATAAGTTGTCTATAATTGTTCTGCTAATGAGAAAAAAGGTCGTGCTGTCGCTGTTTGCGTTGCAAATTTATCGAGTTTGCTGCGTTTCATTTAAGGAATCGAGGCATTTTAGAATATTGAAACAAAGAAAAAAATCAATATAAGTGTAACTAGTGTTAGATACCATTTGGACCGTTTCATTTGATTATTTCTATGCTCAAATTAGAATTGTTTTTGCAATTATGCTCCTCGAATTTATAATATTACAGGAGTAAGGCCTATATATAATATATTATATATTATAAAACGGCGTGTACGCAGGGGGGTGTTTGGGGGTTTACCCCCCCCCCCTTTGGTATTTTTTATGTGTATAAACCCCCTAAAAAAAAATAAAAAAAAAAAAAACCCTTTGGAATTATTTTTCTTAATAACAAAAACCAAAAAACAAACAAAAACAATTATTCCCATGGCTGACCTAAAAAAGGCAACCTTACCCCCCCCCCCCCCAACGGAGTAAAATGTCAAATTTTCAAATTTCGAGACCAAAAAAAAAAAAAAAAAAATTGCCTCTTACCCCCCCCCCCCCCCCCCCCCCCCCCCCCCCCCCCGCTGAGTCGATGCGAAATTTTCGTCCCGATTTAAAAATGTTAACCACCCCCCCCTTGAAAAAATCCTGCGTACGCGCCTGTATATATATATAAAAAGAGAGAGAAAGAGTAATATTGTGTAACACTGTGAATTACATAGCTAAAACAGGTCAGTGCCCACTGCCTCATAGGGCAAATAGGGTGGGGGACAGTGATCCAACTCATTCATCGGAACAAATTAGGGCAACAAGGAGCAACAGCGCCCCAAATTTTGCTATACCTGATGATTACCAACCGTATTATAATAGAACATAAACATTTGCTAATGTTGTTTCATGAAACGAAAGGAATGACGTGACCTAAAAATGGGGGAAAATCTGCTGCTGAATCTTGGAGCTGTTTATTTTCTCTAGATGCGCCAGGAAGTTGTATGAATATGAAGGATTACGGTGTAAACCAGATCCGTGAACTGGCATACATAAGCATACAAGCATAGATGTATATCTAAACAAAGGCTGACAAGGAAAACCATTTGATGAGATTAGTACCTGGCACTACCTGCAACCCTAAAGTTCATCTACCTGACATCGCAACGAATCTTCCAGGCAAACAACTCAGATTAGGGGTACAGCTCACAGCGTTATCGCGAATCAGTTAATCAAAATGATGAGTACAGAATCCAAAACAAATATTTTTCTCTCGATGAAATACTGTAACCGAAAATAGCCGAGGGAGGAGAGTTATTTCTTCACATTTCATTTTTTTTCCATCGGTTTTTCATCAGGAGTAATCTTTTAACCTGAGGGTGTGGCATTTATGGATTAAATACACAGCCACTCTCTGATATAACTGTGTTCTTAAAATTATTTTGAGAAAATTCCAAAGAAAGATTGTCATCATATTTGTGTATATGCAGTTTTGAAAGAAAAAACGATCTTCCAACAGTCAAAAGGCTGCTCTAAGACTTTAAAGTGTCCATTATCGAGTTACAAAAAATATTTTTTTAAATTGTTAAATAATTTCCATTTCAATATTATACTTGTGTATATCGACGAAAAATGTCTTGTAAAGATCAAAGAATTTGTTTAACTTTTCAAAGATGAAATTTGTTTCCCTTGCAAATCATCTCTAGGCCTCTTATTAATTTTGGAATTGAGAAAAGATTCATTCGCAAAATTGAAAAAGAAATTAGAATCCTTACTTTGAACAAAATTTAAATCATGATTTAAATTGTACTAAATACCTATCAAGTCGAAAATATACAATTACGATAAGTGTGAATTTTCTGGGGTCAATGTTAAATAGGGGCATTCACACATCAGATTCTCTTGTTGAAGATTGTGTCATTCATTTTGTTTTATTTTATTTTCCTTGTAGATACTGACTTCTGCTCTCTCTCTCTCTCTCTCTCTCTCTCTCTCTCTCTCTCCTTTTGTGTGTGTCTCTGTCTCTCTCTCTCTGTCTCTGTCTCTCTCTCCCTCTCTCTCTATTTCTCTATTTTTCATTCCCTTTTCCATTTGCAATTATCTAACCAATAAATCCAAATTTTGATGTGACCCTTCTCTCCTTGGTTCCCATAGTGACTCCTAACGTCAATATGATAAAAGGAGAAGACGAGCAGCCCACTTTTCATTTTGATAAGTACTCCTTATCAGAGAATTTCAATTTCCTTATACTTTGATTGTTATCATTACCTAGAAGGCTTTGGTATCAAAATATCAAGATTATCCTATCCGTCTGTGACAGATAACTTTTTATTTTATGCTCTCCATCCCCGGGCAACTCCAATATGTTGACATTTTGGAACCCACGGCAAAGCATAATGATCGTCATTTCGGTTTGAATTTTTGTAATAAAAATAATCGTAATGAAACTGCACAGTGGACAAAGTCACATTTTAGTCTACACTCGAACCAATACATTGGCATATGTCTCTGTAAGATCATTCTCAGAGCTGTTTGAAAAAATAGGCCGATAAGTCTGACCAGATGATAAAACCCCACTTTTTAATGACAAAAAAGGCACCCGACTGTCACATAAAGTTTTCCGTTTTCAAACAGTATGATAGTAACATTTCCGGGAATGTGAACATGGTATGACCAATCCAAACATATTTATTTATTTATTACTTTGTCTAGCCCCATCATTTCATTGCATGTCAGCCATGTAAAGTAAAGTGAAAAATAATATTTAAAAAGAGTTGTGATGTAATATATAAAGTAGTCTAAATGTTTTTCCTTTTCCCCACGTCCATGGAACTTCTTCTTAATTTTGATACAAACTGTTTTAATAATTCTCCGTTCATCGAATGATAATGATACACTTTAAATTATTTCAATCACGCCCCCCCCCCCCGGTGCCCTCACAAAGACGCTGAATGCCTTTCTAATTCCTAGACCGGCCTCCATTCACTGAATGCAATACAGCTAGCGGGATCTGGCAATAAGAAGGGTATTCAGCGGCAAGGGCAGCGAAAGTATTTAAATTTTATATCATCAATTTCCTCATTGTCGTATCAGTATATCAGAATATGCACAGTGAAACTTCGAAATGATTTACTTTATTTAATGTTTCAAACGACACACTGACCCAGAACAGTCAGTGACGTAGCTACAGTGGGGTCAAGGGGCCTTGCACCCCCACCCCGTCTATGAAAGGGAGAAAATAAGACAAAGAAAATGGAGAGAAAAGCACGCTCTCCCTCATCCTCACCCTAAACCACCGTGTATTTGAAAGACAGGCACCATGCCCTCTCCCCATCGTGCCCATGATACCATGATGCCTCCTCATTTCATTAATTCTACTCCGTTTGCTTTCAACACTACCTAAACTCTCACATTAATGTTCCTCATGTCTCTAATTATAGGTTATAATCGTCTATTCTACCCCTCCTTTGAACCGAGGTCCCCTGGGCCTTGCATGGATTGAATTGCCCATGATAAGACGTTCGTTTATCCATCTACTTCTTGGTATAGCGAGGCCTGCTGTCTCATTCGCATCAGCGGCGTACATTGAGTCCATCCATTGCGAGGGTGGCACTGACGTCATGGAGGGGGGGGGGGGGGCAAAGTGCATCCTTGTGAACCCTATTGCCCCTGTATTATACATAGACCACTGAATCACATGTATTACATTGTATGCTAGAATTATGTAAAATCATATCCAGATAATGTTGAAATCAACCTTCTTGGCAATTCCAAAACTGCGTGGTAGGCCCCAGGTAATGAAACACATTGTACTCTAATACGTTTCTTTACTACTGTGTATTTCCAATTGACTAATCTCCTTTTTCTTTGTGTCTTTGTTGCGACACATTCTGTATAATGAGAATGAATTACTTCTATTTGTGAAATTTTACATGAGAAAAATATTTACCGTATGGTAATACTTCTTGATGAATAATTGCTTCTTTTCTTCCCCATTTTCTAGTACCACTTATGTTTTGTCAATCTTTGTGGAGTGTATAATTTGTTGAGACAATTATATTTATGAACTTTCTAATCATGTGAATTAGCTTTTGTTGATATTTACATTAAGTTATTCAAATTCTGTTGTGCAATATTATGTAATTATGCAGTACCGGTATACTACAGAGTGAATTTTTCACTGATCTGTACCCTGACAAATGCACTCATGCCCTTAATCAATATTTCATAGGTACTATTGACAACTTATAAATACAGAAAAACTCAAAGAGGACTCTCTCCGACCCAAAGACTATTTTCTCTTGTCCATAACAAGGTTGGTGAAAGTGATTGTTTTACAATTTGCATCGTTTACTAGTGTTCCCCCCCCCTCTCTCTCTCTCTCTCTCTCTCCCTTCATCCCTCCCTCCCTCTCTCCCTCACTTTCTCCTCCACTCTCCATCCCCTCCTTTATCTTTTGCTGTCTTTGTCTATACCCAATGAAGGATCACCACATGCCCAATATGAATACATGCTTATAATTTATGTCTCTGTCTGTTTATCTGTTCTCCTTCTCTCTCTCTCTTTCTCTATCTATCTATCTATCTCTCTCCCTCTCTCTTTATCTTCCTCTCCACATTCCTCTTCGCCCCCTCTCTCTCTCTCTCTCTCTCTCTCTCTCTCTTTCTCCGCCTTCTCTTCTTGATTTTGTTCTCTCTGTCTGTCCTCTTTGTCTGTCTTTCTGATCTCTCTCCTACACCCTCCATTTCCTCTTTCTCTCTCTCTTTCTCTTTATTCTCTTTATATGTCCCTTTCCCTTTCTCTTACTCTTTCTCTTTCTAGCCTTTTTATTCCTGGATATCTTGTCATTCACGAACATGTGTCGAAAACAAAATAACGTTTTCATGAAATTCTAGCATTATTCTCGGTGAAAGAATTCACACTTGAGGTGTAAACATCGGGATTAATTAGCGCTCTGTTTATTGGAAGGCCATCTCAAATTTTTTACAAAAATCACGACTTTACATTTCGCCGTTTCGGCTTTGTGTCATTTTATCACTAGTCAGTAACGACTCGCAATTAATTATCTTTATAATGTGTGTTGACATTGAGAACTTGGAACAATATTTTCAAGAAATCATGAGGAAATTAAATGTCACAAGATTTAATAGAACACTTTTCTCCTTAAAATTATTTACAAGCTAGAATTGGGATATAATGAGTAGAGCAGTATCTGTAAACACGATACCTTGATAGATAGATTCAAAATCCTCTACAAATGGCAAATTTTTACAAAAATACTTGAATGTACTGTACAAGCAAATTCATTCGTGCATGCAGTTACCGAGAAAAAAATGTACATGATACAGGAGTATTCAAACTAGTATTACGACATTGATATGGGGTCCAAGTAGCATTATATGCATTGTATACATAGGGATACTGATTTTGAATACGATAATCAAGGGAAAGAATTTTTTTTTTTTTTTTTAGTTTGTATGCCTCATCAGAATGGAGCAAATCATTTTCTCGGGAATGAACTGTACTCATTTGCTGTTCACATTTTATTTTATTTTATTATGGCGTCAATATCATGTGATATGACAGGAGGAATACTTTCTCTTCTATGTAAGTGTGGACTTATATTATTAAAATTGACATCTCGTATGCATCAGGATATTATTATTATTATCACCATTACCATTATTATCATAATGATGATTATTATTATTATTATCTTTATTATTATCATTATAAACTATTATTAACATCATTATTGTTATCATTATTATTATTGTTGTTGTTGTTTTTCGTTAGGCAAAGACAAAATCAAGAAAACAGTGAATACAAACCAATAGTAAGATTTGAAGTGAGTCACATGAATGTCGGGAAAAGAAAAAAAAGATTAAATAAGTAACAGTAACCTTAACTCAAATGTTTACATTTTCAGACAATTTGACTTTACATTAATACATAGCTCAGAAAATCAAAATACAACAAATTTGAATTGCAAGGGATGCTAGTTATCATGGAGGTGATATGATTTTAAAGAAATGCAATGTATAATATAAAGTCATATTAAGTGCATTTTATAACTTCGTCCATTTAAGGGTGGTAATGAGAAATCATGAAGTTGACTTTGAAAAAAGTGAAACTAAAAATAACACAGTAAAGAGGGGTTTATGTAGTACATAATTATTAAGAATGACATCAAGGTAATTTAACTACAGATATACACAGATGATAAGAATATTAACTGCAGATTGTGAAATTATTTTTAAAAGACACATACAAGTCATGATCCTGCATTGACAATTTGAATTAGGATTGCAGATTTAATTTACTCTGAAAACTTGCTCTTTTAACTTTGAGGGCCAGGCATGAACAGATAATAACGCAATTATCTATTAAGATGAATAAAGAAAATGAGAGGGAAAATATTACCTGACGGTTATTTACAGAATACATTATTTGAACTGTGATAATCAGAGGTGTTCATGTAGGTTTATCAATATATTCTGTCAGAATCGTGTGTGTTGTTCGATCGTAACCATTTCTGTTACTACAATCATTATCATCGTTATATTCTAATAATTATAAGCTTCTCTGATATATTCATGTGAAATCTTATGGTATTATTGGCGGATTATTATTTACAGCTCTTTTTGCATTGTTTCATAGGGTAAATTATACACCTGTCAAAGTAATGCGCATTCCCTTTGTCACAATTATTAGGCAGGATATTTGCATTAAGATAATACGAAAGTAATGTTTACGAATAAGCATGATTAGTGCTGTATACGCGTATACAGATGTTGCTGTTTAAACCATTTGGGTAAAATGCATATGCGATGACTAAATTAATGTGGTCATTATATTCTCTTAATTACACCTCAAAACAAATCAGGTCATTTGTTTCTTGAGAAAAGAAACCCAGAGGAACGAAATGACCTTATGGAAAGTTAAACTGTTGCTATAATTGGCAATAGAAAATCAATAGTATAACAGATTAAGAAAATATAACAGGATATAGAATAACAGAATACAATTATCTATTTGCCTTCAACTGTTGTGACGTATTCGCTCTTCCACTGGAAAATTTAGATGGGGCTCTCATTTCTATACATAGTCATGGTTCTTTCTTTATTGACAAGAACTTCAATAAAATACTATGTTTGATTAATTCAAATATAAATAGGAAGTAAACTAATAATCCCTTTCATTATGTAGATAAGATATGAAAATGAGACTACAGTAGTGTTTTTTGACATCATAGAATCGCTACAAATGGGAATATTTAGGTTAGCGTGGGCCTTTTGAAGGCTGGATGTTTCTCCTGTGAAATTGGCCTTCTAAAATATGTGTGTTATTAACGACTAGTTATGGATAGTTAAGAAACAGTACTGCTGCCTCGCATATCACTAATGGATTTTTGATGAGACTTTATTTGCAGACAATTGAGTATGTCTCCCGGTGCCATGTCAGCGCCTGTTAAATCGCTGTCATATCAAGGATCTATTAAATATTAAGCTACCTGACATGGCTCTTAATTAGTACTTGTTATATTTTATCTCTCAAGAGCATCTCCATGTTCTCTGGGATCTTTACATACCTTTCAGATTATTATTTAAAACGTCACTCTATTTTCTCCTTGAGCGGGTTGTTTTTAAATATATAGACAATAGTTAAGGTACTCGGGGAGAGCTCGCAGACTATCACTTTGTTTAAACAACATTTTGTGGGGATATGTCGTTTAACGAGTCGCATTGCTAAGATTTCAAAAGCAAACATTCCCAGGAATGTCCTGATCATATATTTTATGGCAATACAGTAAACATACTCTATGTCCTCCCACACACTCTTGATCTCCACCTCTGAGACTGAACACTAAGAAAAGTATAGAAATCATCTACAAAAGCAGTCCTACAATAACTTACAATATATTTCATGAAAAAATAGCTCTCAATCTCTGAAGAATGATAATAGAAAATGATACATAAGCGAACGGAATGGGTTCACACATTAACAATCTCTTTTTCTTTATTCATATACAGTCAAGAAAGTTGTTCTTCGTAACTGTCTACATCGGATGGTTGAACGAATTTGAAATGTTGTTTAAAAGAATGAAATTGTAAACACAATGCCGATTCTGGAAAAAACCGCAAATGAACTTTGTTGAATGGTGAAAGTTGAAAGGTCAGGGCATGGAGGTCAAGGTTCTTCAAGCGAGCTATCCATGATCTCTTGGATGAGTCGTAGGATTCTCATTTTTCGCGGATGGCTGTCCACAATGATGTCAACATCTTCACCTGTAGCGGGAGAAATAACGAGGAGAGAGAGAGAGAGAGAGAGAGATGGCGAAATAAGTGATAATAAGTTTCTGATCACAGTCTTCTTACAGAAAAACATCATGGTACAAAAATAATATAAGATGATGAAGCAGTTCCTAATCGACTTATTGGTTGAAAGCGTACACGTGACCAGGCATTTATTTTGCCTAACACGTAATTTACTAATGACCGGTCATTAGCATTTGCTAATGACCGGTCATAAGTAAAATCGTGTTATAAAACATCATTTTATAAAACAAATAAAACATCATCTTATAAAAAGAAATAATACACATCATTCCGTTCGGGCATTAGTAAAATTACCCACACTCGGTACCTGAGAAACAGTCCAAACACCGTCGGCTATCGTCTCTGGCGTGTTAGACTGTTCCAAAGGTACAAAGAGATCACGGGGGCACGTGCCCCACGCCCCCCCCCCCCCCCAATCGAATAGCTCACCTGCTTCAACCTCCATTACTATACCTCCTTCCCGTTCCCATTCCACTCTCTTTTATATTTCTCTCTTTTCCCCCCATTTCTTGAATTACTTCTGTCATTTTGAATGGGGGCAAATGCCGGTCCCTATACACATTTCCTGATGCTACGTTTCAACATCCAAACATAACAAAACATTTCAAAGTCGGGCAGAGGCTCATGTTATATCAAAATAAGGCATCGATTTCTGTGTTTCATGGTTCACTTAGAAGGTTATTATCACCTGAACGGCACGAGAGGAGTTATCAAGATCACGTGATTTAGAAGTGAGAGAAGGTTTATAATGATCAAGACATGTTACAATCATGTACATGTACATGATTACCGTCATGACTAAAACCCAGAGGGGTAGCACATGGAAGGACCTTTGAGGGATAAAAAAAAATGTAGTCATGTATTTTCCTTTTGCTAATGTAATATGGCGACGTATTCAGATACCGATAGCAATATATACTAAATTATTGATTTTGTAAAAACAATTTTCTTTCTTGGTACGTAAACGGGAAGGGCCTATGCATAGCCTGGGTACTGGATACGCAAATGAAACATTCTATGGTTTTCCTATCTGACTTTTGAGTCTTTCATCCACTTTAAGACTATTTTCTCCAGCATAGACAGTGCTCATCCTCCCTATCTCTCCCACTCTCTTCCTTCCTTTTCATTTCGTGCTCTCTCTTTCCCTCCTACCATTGATTGGTCTTTCAAAACAACATTAACTATTTCCCAAGTTGGAACATAAAAGTACGTTGAACTTGCTCGGCTTTCTGCAATTCAATAATCCTTCCAATGGATTATGTTTCCTTGACTGGTTTTACTGTGGTAAAATGGTTTACGCAATGAAATCTTTTCGAACCATTAGGTGCCCTTTCTCAATCACTTTCACTCATCCATCCGCTGCGCTAATTTACAACCCTCGGATTTCTCTATATTTAGAATGTTCTCAGCATCTTGTTACATTCTGAAATGTAAAGCCCATTATTTCTCCGTGACTGTATTTCATAGCCAGGGTGCTATCAAACTATTTTTTCGCTTTCAATAAATATTCATCCGCGTCGTTTGATTAGTAATATAATACCATTTATACAGTATTGGGTGATATAAAGCGTAACAGTAAATTTAAATATTCCCTTTTCCGGTACGAAACGCTCTCAGAAAATAAAGAAAATTAAAAGAGACAAATTTCCCTTTTGACAAACTAACAAAATAATCGTTTTCCTAAAAAAAAATATTTAAACAAAATAGTGAAAATGGGGTTCATCAATACCTTTTGCTCTTTACCGTATTTCGTATCTTTTGCCGCTATCTGTCTCACTCTCATTACACGTCTATAGTTAATTTACTCTATTGTCTGTCTGTCTTTCTCTCTCTGTGTATTTCTCCCCTCCCTCTCTGTCTCTCTGTCTCTCTCTCTGTCTCTGTCTCTCTCTCTCTCCCTCCTCCCCTCTCTCTCCCTCCTCCCCTCTCTCTCCCCACTTCCTTCCTTTCGTTCTTACTTTCTCATTTGCTCTCCAGCTTATTCTTTGTGCGTCCGGTCTATAATTTTAGTTGACTAAAAAGTTTACCTATACAATATCCTTTTACCAAAGTACGCTGCCTCGAAAATTATGAGTGTTTAGAAACGGCATCACCATTAGTGATGCCCTTTTAGTGAAAGCATGGTCACAATAGAAGAAAAAACAGATTCTAGTAGCTTGTTGATAGTGTTCAGATTCATGTAATATATAACATACAATTTTGGAAAAGAAGCAATCAGTTGGATTGATAAGGTTTCAAGTATGAGATACGCAAGCTTTGTTCAAATCATCAGCAGATCTATCTATCTACATGTTATTTTCAATTATTCATCTTTCTTTCTTTCTTTCTATCTCTCTCTCTAATAATTGATGTACATTTCTATCTATCTATCGAGCGATCAATTGAGCGATCTTTTGTTTTGATATAACAAAATCTCTCATTGCCATTCTTGATTTTAAGAGCTTTTCATATTTTTACGCTAAAGAAATGCTCGATATTATTACTATCATATCATAAGAGATGGCAAAATAGTGAAACTACAATGCTGTCCTCTCCGATAATATGCAAGAACTAAAAACATAAATGACAGAAAACCAGAGAGCGTAGCTAAAAATGTCAACATATTTGTTTTCAAAATTACTGTATACATTGAGGATTCAAACAAAAGAACAAAATATATATATATATCATTGCATAATATACCGGAGAAATATATATTTCAGATATTTCAGCAATTTGGGGTATGGTTGCATCGATGTCTTCTAATATCCCTCTGGTCATTGATTGCAGGACTTCTTAATGACCAAGAGATAATTATTAAGAGGGGCCAGTCGACCGCACACGATCAATCAACCCTTTTCTTTGCTACCAATTTATCTGTATAAACATATACTTATTTGTTAATACATAAACATCTTTATTCCCCATTTCATTCTTTTGACTTTATTTCTTCTTCAAAATGCTTTGAATTAATTGTACTATCCGACATTAAAAAACCTTTTATTCATCCCTGAAGTCAGAATTTCGTGTTTGGAGGCTATAAAAGTCGGGTTTTGCCGCAGTGGGTCACATAATCGTCGGCGATATTATACGTGTGCGTGTGCGTGTGCGTGTGGTGTGCGCGCGTGTGTGTTTGTGAAAGGCAGGATTGCTTTTTTTATCAAGGTTAAAAACACAATCAATTTCTCTCGATTGGATTTGAATTTCCTTTGTCAATGAACTGGATTATATATTACAATTGACAGCTTATAAACATATTTTTTCCTGTCTTGGTTGATCTAATACGCTTTGATAATTATTGAGTAGAAATGATAGCTATACGTAACGCACTTCTGTGACGTCATAGATCTGTCACGAGACAAAAGAATTTGTATTAAAGTGCAGGGGGAAAGCCGTGAAAGGGCAGCGGTCCTAATTATGCACTAGCAGATACCGTCTCTCTAAATGTGATTTATATGGAAAGGTAATTGATTTGAACATTTTTATGTGACATATTTTAAATCCCAGGTACTTTCGCCTATTGTCAATTTGGCTTATTGAATCCTGACATTTTGACGAATGTCGCATTTTTATATTATATCGCAGTATTTACCGATTCAGGGTAGAAAAATATAGAAAATAGTGATGAATAAATGCAATAATTTAAATTATTTTTGTTTAAATGGTGCGAAAGCCGGTTAGTCATACAAGCATGAAAATAAATGGTTTAGATTACTGCTACAAAATTATCCATTCATTCTTACGGACATGTCCTGGAATGCATTGCTTTACAATAAATAGCTGAAGAAGTTAAAGAAACTTTACTTTCACAAAGTTCGAAAGGCACAGTGAACATTCTGCTTGTCGTCTTTGACAGCAGTGTTAGGAAACAAAAATCAAAATTTTCCCGATGGTATGATATCGAGTTCCCAGTGTAATAAACATTAATTAATACTACTCAGGTCGTTCTCTGATAATATATTATGACAATAACGATGTTTTACCGCGACCATCATGAAATAAATTGAAGAAGTAATGCCCTGGTATAAATTGGAGGAAATTGGAGTAGAGGATTAATTAGAATGAATATCTTTCCATTTTTTTGTTATCTATGCTCTAGGATGAAAAGAATGCTATTTCACCATTCTCTCCAGGAAGAGAACTTAGTTTCATTAATAATCGTAATTATCATATTGCCACTAAAATCTCGTATGTAATGAACATAGTAAACGCATGTTTTGCATTCGTGGGGCTACTCACGAATGAATGGCACAAGTGAATTTCGCTCAATTTTCTACTCTCATTCCACCCTTCCACCCATCCCCCTCTCTCTCGCGCTCCCACCCTAAAACTCTCTCTCTCTCTCTCTCTACCTTCTACCTATGTACATATTCTTTCCATCTATTTGTCTGTCTGCTTGTCCCTTACTTCTCCCTCCCTTTTCTTTCTCTCTCTCTCTCTCTCTCTCTCTCTCCATCTCCTTTTTTTCGATAAATTCGATAAATTCACACGTGTTATCAGTATCGACAAAAAAAATTCTCTCTCTGCCCTTGTCAATATCCCATTACCTGTGTAATACCACCATTATCATAGCTATAGAATTACAAAGGTGATATAATTACTCATGTTATTATTTATACGCAATATTATACAAATCTAGTCCCCGCGGTGGTCGTGCGACTAATTATGTATGATCACGAGGCTTTTATGGTTCATTTTCCTCCTTAATAATCTACTCATTGCCATTTGCACGGCCAATGAAATGAAAATTCATATCAAATGGACAATGCGAGCCCGGGATTAGGAGATAAATGAGTTGATGCGACCGTATTAATCCTTTGATTGAGTTACGGTGAAGAAAAATGAATATATCAGATTTAAAATTGATCGTTGGTTCCGTGTTCACCTGAACATTTTGAATATTAGTTTACGACATGAAATTATATATTGTTGTCAATTGATATGATATGATATGATGTGATATTATATGAAATGAAATTATATAAATTAAACAAAAAGAATGGAAACGTTAGAAAATGATATGATATGATTATGATATGAAATGTAATTAAATAAGATGAGATAGAGAATAAAGAAAATAAGATCCTTTGAAATTAAATTGATTGAAATGAAACGAAATTGAATGAAATGAAGTGATGATACAGAGAAGAAAGGAAATGTAATGAAAATAAATAAATACCATGAAATGAAACGATCAGATGGTGAAGAAGTGAAAAACTTATATGAGCGCATGACCTTTATTGAAATTTGTCAGTCACTAACGAAAATCTTTGTCATGTATGCGGATGTGAAGAGGGCATTACCGCAATATTGTATCTCTGTATTGTCACATGACTGCATTTTGATGACAAAGAAGGCAATTTTTTTCACCTACTCATGCATATTGGCAATTTAAGAGTATTTGCACAGGCATGTGCATGAATTGAGCTTTGTTTGCGCCCTGGTTCGCGACAGTCACCGTTTTACGGAACCGGAAGCTTTGCTTCTCTTGCCCCAAAATAAATCGTATCAATCTTAATGAAACTCCACGAAGATCCAATTAATTTAATACTAGATAATCGAAAATATTTGCACAGCGGAAAAGGTAAGCTAATCGAAGTGGCATTTCTGAGATTGACAGACTGTAACCGAGTAAAACTTCTTCAATAAAATTGATTAGTGAAACATTTGTTTAAATCAAAGTCATTTAAAATTTGTCATTCAAATCGTTTATCATCTTTACGGAGCTACCAGACGAAGACAGAGGAGAGAGAGAGGGAAACGGACATAAAGAAAGACAGAGACAGAGAAGCAGTCGCATCCAGGGTAAGTTACGATTTACGAGATTCCATTTACTGACTTCCTCATTATAATCAGATATTCCAAATAAATATTCCAAAATACTACGTATTTTACGTTTGTTGAGGCAATCACCCTACTCATCTATCACTCTCTATCTTTTAATCTTCTTTAAATCCGTTTCATTTTCCATGTGCTACCATTCTTGGTCTCTACCCTCAAACAAATATCTTTAAAAGTACTCTCGATTGACTATCGAACAGACTACAGCAAGTGAAAACGCACCACAGATACACCATCGAAACCGATACCAGAACAATAACAGACCGAAAAAAATACTATGGTACCCCAAATTGCGAAGGCTTTGACGATTTTCGGTCGGTTTGGAGTCAGTTGGCGTTGGGACCGTCGTATTATCTGAATATCCCACAGTGCCACCGCTAAATCAACTCCAAAACGACCGATATTTTGTTTGTTTTGGCCTTTTGGGGGTGTGATAAACACTAAAAAGGTGATCATTTGCAACATACCTTGATTTGCCAGGTACTCTGGAGGTGACTGTCGGAGTTGGGCATTTTCCTCTGGTAAGTAACCACTAAGGTCTATCGTGGATGGGTCGACGGCGAGAAGACGGGCGGCGGGAGACATGGGGTCGATGTTGGCGGGGACACTGAGATCACGGTCGTCCGAGAAGAACGTTCTTTTGCCGATGTGTACGTGACAGAGCTTTGGGTGTCGCCCTTTGCAGAATGAACTCTTTGCACTGTGGGTCAGGTGGAATGTGGCACAGAGTGCTATCAATACCGAGAATAATGCTGTGGGGAAAAATGAGACATTCGCAATCAAGACAATAAAGACGACCGGAAAAAGAGCTATGCCGTAAAAATAATAGCATTGTTAAAATGTGAAGTTTCAAAAAGGCTTTGTCATTAGAAAGATAAACGAAGCATTAAGAATAATATTTTAGTACAATGCATAACCAAGGAGGTAGCTCACCCGGTACCCCCTTGGTAGAACATAAACCATGAAGAAATATTGTTTGTCACTAAAAGGCCGGTTGTGTCAAGCTGCTTGAAATCCCAAAGTCGGACCAGGAATTTGATGTGTCGAACATTCTGGAAACCTTTCTCCTGGTTGAATTTTCACCAACGACCTCCAATAATATCTGATTGATTGAAGCTAGGACCGATATTCGACCTCTCCTGATTTGATCGCGGGCTTTTAAACAGAAACATCGGAGAACCAACCAGAGACCTTACCACTAGACCAATATTCATCATCGTCTGTCCCTGGTCAACTCTTAGAGGTATACGTTCCATCGTGCACAATTATTCAGTTTACAACCGGATACAAATAAAAATATACCGACCAGAAAACTTTGATTGTATCTGCAATAAGGGATTTTTAAAAAAAATCCCCAATAACATGAATAACAAAAAATAGATACCGCGTTGAAAATGACAACACAAGTTAGCAAACATGGTTTTACATCTCAAAATGCCACATCAATCATTATTTGAAGCCATGAGCACAAAACAGCATTGTCTCATTAAAACTTTTTGTTTTTTATTCAAGTGGATCCTAAAATCCGTTTAAAATGTATGAAGTGAATATCCGATGTGAAAATGTCATCATAACTTGAAAGAAGTTAGGAAAGCAAAAGTTGACCCGAGAAACTGTTCGATTGTACTCTCTGACGCAACAGAGAATATTTCGTAGAGAAAAAAAGTAACGATGATGATAAAATATAAAGGGACAGAAAAACACACTCACACAAACACACACATATAGACATGCAGAGACAGAGCGAGAACAGTGGGAGAAAGAAAGAAAGAGAGCAAGGGAAATACCTAAACGAAGAGAAGACTGAGTTCAATAATAAAGCAGAGTGTAACTACTTGATATATACCAATTCGTATAAACTGCACACGATTCATTAACATAATTTATATCACAAAATATCAAGCAATAAAAAATACAGAAACATATTTACTGACGATAAAACTTCTTGATAACAAAATAAGTCAATGAATTCTCCCTGTGAACAGAAGACCAACAACTCAAAAGTCTTAGCATAAAACAAAATAAATGCTTACACTGTGTGAGATCCATGTTTTTTGGTGGATGTAAGAAGCTGACTGTGAACAAGATATAAGATATACTCTTCTTTAGACCAAAGACAAATGAGCGAAGAAATAAACGATTTTGGAATGGTGAGTCGCAGGAGTGGTCGCGCTGGAGACGTATGGCTTACTGAAGCAAAGAGGTTGTTACCCACTGCTTTTAAAAGATTCCAACAGTGATGCACTACAAGGCTGCGAGAGTGAGCGGCCGCGGCGCGCGCTCGACTGATGACGTGCAATGCCGAGTTCGTTAGAAGAGGAATTAAAACGGTGTATCGTCTTCGATAATGTTGATACGCAGTGCATCTGTGTCATGACGTAAAGCACATTTCGCTTCATCATATTCCATTTATTTATTTATTTCTATTTTCAAATATGATAACAAACGCAGGGTAGGCCTCGCAAACAATGATAAGGTTAAACAAATTTGACTAGAGAAATTAAATATTAAGATGAGAAAGATTGACATTTGCACCACTTATTTGGGTTAAATGTCAGCGAATTAAAAAAATATTCAGTAAGTTAATGAAAGTAGAAAACTAAAACTATTTTTCAGTTGCCAAAGATACTTTTTTTTGTGAGAGCCACTTGTGATGCATGGAGTATAAATTTCGAGCGTTTTAATATGCTTTCATCATTGAATGATATCAGAAAGAATTTTTTTTTTTCAATGCAAGGTGGCCAAAGACGAGATGACTGTTGCGAATAATTATACCCTTTTCTATAATTTATTCTAAGGAGAGTTGTAGCGCCACTTCCCCTAGTTCCCACACCACTTCTCGCGAATGATCAGCATTGGTCAAAAATGCTTCCCGTTCAGGTATTTGGAGTGATTCTAGGAGAGCTACCTTCTGGACTATCAGACTACCGTCCCTGGTGTAAAAGTCGTATGAAACATATCATTTTTATACCGGAGACGACTACTAAATCCCCGATTGTACATGTTTATAAAATACATATTAATTGATATATGTTTAGACTAATCCATTACAAAGCCTACAGGAACACTATGAACACAGTGTGAAACACAGTGTGATTCACACTGTGAATGAGTGTGTTCTTTCCTTTTCCGGTTATCCACAGTGTGAAACGAATCGACCACAATGTGAAAACGCCCCAATTTAACATTGTGGAGGGCACTGTGATTCGCAGTGTGAATCACACTGTGTATGAGTGTGAATGAGTGTGTTCTTCCCAGAAAGGGAAGGTCGTCTTTCCTCTCCGAATGCACATTTTCCATTAAAGGAATAATAAGATTTATTAATCGGATGTAACTGTAAATTAAAAGGTTTAGAAACGCTGCATTGAATTACAAATAGAAATAAATTAAAAGGTTAATGACAGATACTGCAATGTATGGTTTCCAGACAGATACACAGATGTTTGTCAACAAGTATGACATGTCTTCACATCTGCCAAATAGACGGGAAAAGAAACGCCTTGGTTAGACTGTATTCTGCAAGTTTTGGGGACATTAATTTCCGTCAAGAAGAAACCACGCAATGTTGTAAGACGAAGGAAAATAGTTGTCATTTGAAAATGCCTTATTTTATGCCCTTAAAATATTCACATTAAATTAACCGATCATGCTTGGTGCACATTTAATAAATCTCTTCTAATTAAGCACAAAGTGACGAAAAATATGGCAGTGTACTGTATGTCGTGTGCAAAAGATGAAATAAAATGAAAATCATTTTACAATGCTGTTTTTGATCGCAATATAAAATTTAAATTATCAAACATACAGAGATTCCTTGCGCATTTGATGAATCTCTATAGTTCGGTAAAAATCAGAGGGAACTGTTAGCATATTGTTTGGAAGACGAAATATTTTAAACGCAGCATTGTATCAAAATAATGATCTAGAAAAGAAAAACTATAATTGTGGTGCAAAATTCCCTCCTAATCCGGTGCAAATCAACGAGAAACATTGCCACGTGTTATGGTTGCCTACTGAACTTTTTACAGGAAATGAAAAAAGACCAACCGGTTGCCACCTTTCATGGTCGGTTGCTTGACGTCTACGACGAAACAAACAGTGATTGGCTTTTGATTGCGCTTAATCTTCCCACATTATTGCCATCACCTGTTCCTGCAGTCTTATTGTCACATCACAAGCAAGCAAAAAAATTATATAAAACAGTAACAAGGACGAACCCTTTGGCAAGTACAAACCTTGGAGTTAATAGAGGAAAAGATCAACGGCAGATTTCAAAACCAATGGCTTGTCACCTTGTTATTGAGATTTGTTTCTAGCTTTAAATCTAGAACGTCACATGACCGATTACACGAATACACGCACTTAATCATGTTGATATATTGGCTGATCTATTCTGTTTAAAAGTAATTATGCAAATAAATTATACAAGTATTGTAACAAAATTATGACTTTTACGGAAACCGTCTCATCGCTCTCGCCACCATTACATTCAGACTATCTCTCGCGCAAATATCAATCGCACAATCTGTGATGACTGGTCAAGACGAGAGCTAGGGGTCAATGGAGTTCACTTCCATTCACTAACTCATTATCAGGAAGAAATGCAGCTCGATCTTTGAAGTCGTATTGTTTTACAGATAATCGTGCTTTCTAGTCATTGCATTAATAAGTACTAGCACTTTTTGCGGCGGCAGAAAAGACTCAAGAAGAAGCCCCTCCCCCCCCCCCCTCTTTTGTATTTTATTTCTTTATTTGTCCGACTGTTGTTCTTATTTGGAATTGACACCTCGACAATGTTATATTATGTGTGGCAGTTGTTAAAATGGTTTAGAAGTCACACTTGATCGTTGTTGTGTGGTCAAGGGAATCAATAACGGATCAATAATGTGAAAATAGTAAATAGTATATTAAGAGTCTATAGCAGGGTGAAAGTTAGTTTTTTTAAGGGTTCAAGCAAGTCATAAAAAAGGGCACCTTACCCCTCCCCCCCCCCCCCGGTTGACATCGATCTCAGGGACTATCCATTTTTTGAAGAACAACATCTTTAAACAAATCCAAAACAAAAATCGGGAAACTAAAGATTTATAGACTGAAGAATTTATCTTTTAGCATGATTATTTCTTATGTACATGTATATGCCATGTTAAGAGATGTACTATTAGGGATTGCTTCTTCAATGTTAATAGCCCTTGCTTTAACGAACCGGACTCTATGTGGGTCTAGTTATTAGAATTATATTTGAATATGATTTAAATATGGAGCTTTCATTATAATGATTTTGAGTAGGCTGATCTCTGAGCAAGGATATAACCTGAACTCAAGGCTCAAGCTGAGGACAGAGTCTGACCTCAAGCTGAGGAGAGAGTATGGCCTCAGTCCATGGTGATCGAGCTGGAGGGTCGGCAGAGATTGTTACGTAAGACAAACGCAAGCTCGCTTGACGAGCGAGATCCAGGAGTGATCATTGGAGATCATAGATATATTTTTATACGCGTTCAGTCCATGGAAATCGGAGTAATATTCGGTAAAGGAAAATAGATTTTGTTCACTCCTACGCAAAAAAGGGTAGACATGTATATAATAATATGCATACACTAGAAAGCATGTAGCTACATCTTCATGGTAATACGGTATAAAGGGTTTTAACTTGAAAACCACCACGTTTCACTACAACGATTTGATTGTTTTGTTCCAATTGGATTTTAAGATGGTCAATGATTTCAGACTTCGAAATAATTTTTTCTTGAAAGTTTCATCACTAAACAACGTTACAGATTGATACATTAAAAAAAAAATTAAATCTTCTCCCAGTTCAGAGATTGATTGCAATAGTTCCGCACAAATGTCTGGTTTATACCGTCCTAATACACTCTTGCAGTGTCATTCCACTTCATATCTTAATGTTCCCCCTCGTAGTTAGTTCTCAGTTTCCCTCTTGGTCTGGTGGTACCCTCTATCTACTTTTCGTTCCAGTAAATCTTTCAAGAGACTCCGATGTCTATTATTTACTTTTCCTTCCAGTAAATATTTCAAGAGGTCCGGATGTCTTTTAATGTGGCCACAGTATTTTCCCATTTTTTTGCTTTAACCATTCCTATCATAATATTTTGTTCAAGCCCTGCCATAATTATGCAGTATTTCTCTGTTGGTTTTCATATCTTTCTTTGATGTTCTCATCGTTCTCATTGACACCCAATTTACAATATTATTCGTTAATAATGCTAAATATATTACTCATTGCGGATATAATATCGAAAATAATATCGTTGAGTGACATTCGTTTGTCTTGCAATACTATGATCAACAAGGGATCTAAAAGATCACGACGTTTTGTGTGCCGCTGCTACACTTCGTCAGGTGATAAAATATATTGTAAGCAAGCGTGTTTTATATTCTACGGGTTTTTCCATCTTTGCCTTTGATACAGTCGCTTACTGATGTCTTTACCCTCTGTTTAAAATGTTTGCTTTCTCTGTGCTTTTCGTTTATTTGATGTGTCGTAGAAATATCTTTTCAGTCATCCACGGTTGTTTCAAATGGTTAAACAAAAAATATTTCTATGGTGTTCAAAAAGAACATTGGCATTTGTAGCTGCTATCTATTTATATATTAATTTTCTCAGGAAGAGATTGAGTTTAGTATAAATGCATTGTCACAATATTAAGCATTAATAAATAATAAAATCCTCACCGCACGGTTTCGTATTAGCATTTGTAAGAGCATGTAAATCAGGATTAACGAGCTTGTAATTATTCCTGTTTTCAGATCATTCCATCTACATGTATTCATCTTTATCCCTGTCAATCTTTTTACATATTCTTACTATTTATAGATGTGATGACAAATTAGACTGATGTAATGGCTATTCAGTATTAGCCTCACCCTATATTCCATTAACCTATATTACACAAAGTTGGGCGAAACTGCATTGGAATGAACATATCATCAGACCTATAGCTCAACGTATTGCAAGATCACGCGCTCTTGATTTCTCTTTCTTCGTTACCGCTTTTTTTCAAGTGAATGAATGGCATGACATTTTATCTTTCTCAAGATCACTGAATGGAATAATTCCATTTACCCTTTCACTTCTACGAATGAAATTCGAAATACCAAAGCAGAAACGAAGAAAGGTCGATCTATTGAATTAAAACGGTCTTTCGGTATTGAACCAGCGTAGCGTGTC